CACCAATATAAAGCAAATTAATGTTTAACAAACTGAGTAAAGCTACCTAATTCACACTTAGTATCATTCACATATCACTAACATAATACACAACAGGAGCATATATTTAGCTCATGTTAACATTCACAACTTAACATAAATACAAGAGCATGTGCGCACAAACAGGAGCATATATTTAGCAAAATAACACTCCATTCAACTTAATATTGAGCATTACTCCAATGGAATCCTACAATGGGCACTACCATTCAACTACTTAGGCATACATCACTAACAATTTGACCATAGACATCAGTGAATCACACTTAGCAAACAAGCCTTTGCCACTGTCAAGGCCACAATCCTCTACATAATCAAATATGCAAGAAACATATCGGCTCTGCACATGCTAAGAACCTTCTCCCAGTGTCTATTCCTTCAAATGCAAAAAGCCTCTCCGATGCCTGGCCATGCTTCTCACAGAACACCATTAGATCTAGCTCAAGGCCCATAGGGGACCTGCAAAAGCAAACCAAAGTTAACATCACGTGCAGACGAGGAGGAAACCATATCAAAGCATATCCCCAAATCAAAATCTAGCTAAGAAAAAAATCGGCAAATAACCCTAGCTCTAATGAACTCACCTGGTTAAGCCCATCGGTGGAGGAGGAGGGATGCATGTATGGGAGGCTCGAGTTGTCCTTGCTGCTTTCGTCCTCGAAAACCATGGCTGTGGCGGTGTGGTGTTGCGGCCGGTGGGCGGGGACGAAGGCGGCGGCGAGGGAGCAAGGAGCGACGAGGAAGAGGAAGAATGGAGCAGGGGGTGGCTCGGACCGACCAGCCGTGCCTAAAACCGGTTCGAGCCGACTCGTCCCAGTCAGCGCGCGGGCATGCGCCGATTGGACAGCGTGGCACCTAACGTGCGGGCCCAACTAGTCAGTTTTGCCGTCAATACGTATAAACGGCGCTTTTAGCTTTTTTTGTAATGCCTCTCCTCAGAGTTGGTACTGAACTATGAAAATTACCTATCTTAATACCAATCTGCGTATAATATCCTAGTTGTGATACTTCTGTGCAATTAACTCTTAAATGGCCGCCTTCGGCATCACTCTTAGTGGACTGGTCCCGACCGATTCACAGGGTGTCCAGTTTGAGGGTAAACGATGTGTTAATTGGTTAAAAAAAACACTTTAGCTAGATTTTCAGTCAGGTGATTTTTAGGTTTGTGGTCAGTCAATTTTCCGGTCGTTGGATTGTGCTTTAAGATTTCTGTAGTTTTTTCTTTTTCTGTCTTGTTTTACTGGTGTAGTGGGTTGTTTGGATTAGACTGACACCGTCAGTCAATTTTCTTCTTGTGCTGGATTTTCATGTGTGCATGTTTTTTTTCCATGAGTTTGCTTTTGTTCTTTGCACGTGTACGCTTTTATTTTTCTATTTTTCAGTTGAGTTTTGTCTTTTTTCTTTACGTGTATTTCCGGATGTTGAGTGTGTGTAATTGTATACATGTACAAATTAAATTAGAGTACGAAAACATCACTCTTATATATTTAATTTATATATTACAAAAAGTGCATTTTTTGGCTAATTGTGTTGAAAATTTTATTTTATTTCATTTTCTTTATTTTAAGGGTAATAACAATGCTATTTTTTTTGCTATAAATACAGCTTTATATTATTATGTGTATGTATGCATGAAATTACTATACAAATATTTGTGTAAATTATACTAGACTGCTAAATTTGCGTTATTAAATGTGCATTCGCTGCATATTATAAAGAGTGTAATTTCACTGAAAGTTGTATGCAAGTTATATTTTATTTTCTTCTTAAGAGTAATACCAATGTCACTAATTTACCCTCTCTTAGATTATTTTTTGTTTTATTATGATTAGTTTTTAATTCATTTCCTGTTTTTAAGGACGATATCAATGCCACTAATTGGTTCCTTGTTTAAAAACTTTGTATCTTACTCCCTCCGTCCCATAATGTAAGACGTTTTTCGACACTATGCTAGTGTCGAAAAACGTCTTACATTATGAGACGGGGGGAGTACATAACTAAAAAAAGTGTAATTTATGTGTAAAATGTGTGCAAATTGTATCATTATTATTTTTACTTTCTTTCTTCTTAAAGGGTTTCATTTTCCCTAGTAAACTTCATTATTTTGTTTTTATTTTAGTTTTTAGATTTTCCTTCTTCTTAAAGGGTTTCATTCTTACATAGGAAACTTCATTATTTTATTTTAGTTTTAGTTTTTGTACTTTTTTTCTTAAAGGGTTTCATTATTCCATATAAAACTTCATTATTTTGTTTTAGTTTTAGTTTTTTATTTTCTTTCTTCTTAAAGGGTTTCATTCTTCACTAGAAAACTTAATTATTTTGTTTTTGGTTTTGCTTTTTTATTTTCTTTCTTCTTAAAGGGTTTCATTATTATTTTTATATAATACTTCATTAGTGACATTTACATTTCATTTTCTTTCTTGTTTAAGGGTAATACCAATTGCACTAATTCACCCCTTCTTTGGAAACTTCTATTTTGTGTAAATTCCACAATTATATGCTTATTCTTGCATATTATAAAAGGCTCAATTTTTTGTGTAAATCGTGTGCAAATTTTCACATTTGTTGTTTTAGATTATTTTTTATTTGTAAGGGTAATATAAATGTCACTAATTCATTCTTCATTTTTTTGTTATTTTTTCAGTTTCTTTCTTCTTAAAGGGCAGTAGCATTGTCACTTATTCATTCTTTGATATAAAACTTCGTTATTTTGATTTAGTTTATTTTTTATTTTCTTTCTTCTTCAATGGTAATAGCGCCACTAATTCATTCCTGTTTAGAAAACTTTTTTTGCAAAACTTTCACTATTATATGCTTATTCTTGCAAATTTTAAAAAAGTGCAATTTATGTGTAAATGGTATGCAAAGTTTGTCTTTACCGGACTAGTTTGGTATATTTTGTTTTTCTGAAGGGTAATACCAATGTCATTCATTCATTTTTCTTATAATGTTTTTGTTCTGGGACAGAGATACTTTGTTTTGCCCACATTTGAACCGTCGTGGTCAAAAAAGATAATTACCTTACACTTTGACTCCCTCTCTTATTAACTTTCTCTATCATGCATGCATTCTCTCTTTTTTTCACATGCATGCACACAACACAAATCTCTCTCAGTAACTCTCTCTCTTTCAGAGACATGCATGTCTGTGCGCAGCACCGTCTCTCACGCGCTTGCTCTTCCTCGTGCGCGCTTTCTCACAGCATCTTCAGCTGTTCGGCCTCCCATGGCGACGAAAAAAGGTCACCTGAGAACGAACCGGCACAAGTTTGGCGCTTGGATGTGGCTCGGTCCCCAGTCGACACCCGCAAGGTCGCCCTGAGTTCGGCGAAATTACTTAGATTAGGTACGAACTTGGCAAAATTTTATTGAAATTAGTACAAAAAAGTAAAAAAAAAACATGCAAACTACGCCAAACTAAGCCAAACATGCAAACTACGCCAAACTACCTGACCCCAGGTAGTGGCTCCATTCTCCGCGGCGTCCAGGAACTGCCGCGGCGGAGAGAGAAGGACGGTCGCGTCGGGTACTCGAGGCGCGAGACGTTGCCGGTCTCAATGTGGTCAAGGACGGCCTCGAGGGTGCGGCCGGGGACGCCCCACCACTCGCGCCGTCCTTCGGCATTGAGGCGACCGCGGGGAATGATGACGGGGGTGATCTGTTTCTCGCGGCGGCGCTCGAAGTACATCGTCCACAGCGTTTCGCTGTTGGGCGTGTACCTCGGCTGGTTCCGCTGCTCCTCCGTCAGGGGGGAGCGGATGCGGGCGATCTCCGCCCGTCGTGCAGCTCCTTCGGGCACCGGCGGCATCGGGACGCCGACCGCGCTCAGCCTCCACGCCCCCGGCACGCGCATGTCAGGAGGCGTCGGGTACTCGGCCTCGTAGAGGAGGCGCGCCTCCGGCTCTTGGAGGTGTCGGCGGCCGAAGCCGTCCGCCGCTGCGCCATCGCCTGGGAACCTCTCGGCCATCTTTGCTTTGCTCGTCGGCGGGAAGGGGGAGATGGCTTTTGCGAGAGGGGGAGGTTGTGGCGTTCACCGGCGGGGAGTGGGCGCCTTTTATAACCCAAGTGGGGCGGCGGAGAGGCAGCATGTCGGGCGACAACACTTGGCGGGAGCGGGCGGGACGCGCGTCGGCGGCGCCTGAGGCATCAATGGAGGCTGACCGGCGCGGCGGCGCGACAGCCTTGGCCAGCCTTGACATTGATTCCCGCGGGAACCGAGGCGATGGGGCAACGAAGCGGCGTCTCGCTGACTAGGCGGACCCGCCCCCCGTTCGCGCCCGGGCGCTTCCAGCGTGCCGGATTCGGCCTGGGTCCGCCGGCACGAACTTCGGCCCAAACCAACAAAAACGGGCTTTTGTGGGCACGACTGGCTGTTTTTTTGGCGACGGCGAAAAAAATCGACTTGGAGGGCCTTGTTGGGGGCGCGGTTGGAGATGCTCTCAGTACACAGTTCAGAAGCCCTGTTTGGTTCATAAGTCCTAGGACTTTTTTTAGTCCCAACTTATAAGTCCCAAGTCCTTAAAAAGTACCTACCTGTTTGGTTCCTGGGACTTATAAGTCCCTATAAGACCATATTACAACTATAAGTCCCTATAAGTCCCTCCTTAAGAGTCTTATTTCATAAGTCCCAAATGCTCACTTTAAGTCCCTACAAGTCCCTCCTGTTTGGTTTGGATGGGACCTATAGAGACATTTTTAAGTCCCTAAGCCAATAAGTCCCTGGAAACAAACACCCTCCTAGTCTATTTTTCTGTGGCTGCGCATGTTCACACCTAAAAAAAGTGACTGATCGAATACCATTTTCAGTCGATTGGCACCTGGCGGTCCCAACTCCCACAACACAGCTCGAGCTCCACCTTCTCTGGATCGATCTGCAAGTCAACACCCGAGTCTTCGGATCAAGGTCCGGCAAAACCGCAGACAGCAGCAGAGCGCCGCTTCTGCTCGCCGTCCGACATCTGCATGGGTGCTGCAGCAGGGAAAGCCGTCGAAGACCAGGCATCTGCTGGTGGGGCAACAACGCGAGCGGAGGACCGGATGGCCGTCGCTGAGCGCGTCATCCTCGAGTTGGAGCGCCGCCGCTCATCCGGCGACGGCTCCGACGTCGGCATATGGGACGCGCAGGCGACCTGCACCAACTCGGGCCTCCTCGCCGCGGTCGACGAGATAGTCTTCCTCAAGGAGATGCACGCGTTCCCCACGGCCTCCGCCGCCGGCCGCCGCATGGACGGCGCCCTCCGGGCCGCCATGTCGTGCCTCATGGAGGAGTTCCTCAGCCTCAGGGTGTGGGACGGTTCCCAGCTCGAAGGCAGGAGCGGCCTCCGCTTCGCCGTCGACAAGCTCTCCGTTTCCGTGGCAGCGGCCCGTGGCGCGTCGTCGTCGTTCGCCTTCCTAACCGGCGGCAGCACGGCCAGCACGGTGAGAACCAGCACGGCCGAGTTGAGCTCCGGCACCGTCGACGAGCTGTACGCGTCCGGCTCCGGGAGCCAGCCGGCCGGGCCGGATGTCTTCTCGGACGGGGAGTTTCCGGATGAGCTCGACCTGATCTGCCCGGCGAGCTTGTCCATCCTCCATGAGATCTCACTGCGTGTCATCCGTGCTGGCTACACGAAGGAGCTTCTCCACACGTTCGCCAACGCTCCCTGCGAAGTTTTAGACAGGTACAAACTGAATCCTCTTTAATTCTTGATTGAAAGGGAAAATATACTACAGCATATTGTAGATCTGAATTTGGCATTTGGCCTCCTTTTTGTCAGAGTTGATGAACTGGAAGATTGTGACCATGGATTGGAACAGGTTCTTGTCGATTCTCCAAATCCAAGTAGGATGCTCTCCAGAGATCGAGACCGACGAGTCGATCAGCTATGAGAACGCCGAGTGGTGGACAGCGGAGGACATGATCCGGCGGTGGATCCTGGCGACCAAGCTGGTGGGGAAGGCCCTTGTCGCTATGCAAACGCAGCTCCTCGCGCAGAGCAACGGCGCCTTCGACAGGTTCAAGAATGACTACCTTATGGCCATGGCGAAGCGGAGATCTTATATCCTGCTCAGGTTCGCAGACGGATTCACCAGCACGCGCTCGCCGGAGAAGCTCATGTACGTCCTGGAAATGTACGAGGTCCTTGGCAGCGCTGTCCCGGGGCTCGTGCTCGTGCTCACCGGGCAGCACAAGGAGCTCTTCTCCCGGCAGGTAGAGGTGGTTCTCGCCAAGCTGGCGCGCGCGCTGAGGGTCATGATCGGCGGCGCCGTCACCAAGGTCCGAGCCGGCGTCGGCTCAGGGACGCAGAGCGAGACGCGCGGGGTCGGCGGCGGCGTCCATCCGCTGACGCGGTACGCCGTGTCCTGCATCGAGTCGCTAGCACCGCACCGCGGCGCGCTGGATGTGATCCTCGCGAGCACGGGCGGCATCCTCGAGGGCGTGAACTCGTTCGGCGATCTCTTCTCGGAGCTAGTCGCGTCCCTGGAGCCCAAGCTGGAGGAGATATCCGCCCTCCGTGGCGAGGAAGGAGGCGGCCTGCGGCACCTCTTCGTGGCCAACAACACCAGCTTCGTGCTGAAACGCGCCGGCGTGCTCGGGGGAGACGACGAGTGGACCGCGTGCCACCGGAGCCGAGTCGAGCAGCACATCACGAGCTACATCGAGGCTTCCTGGGCGCCGGTCGTGGCCTGCCTCGAGGCCGGCAAGCCCGCCACCAAGGCGCTGGCCAAGTTCAACGCCGCGCTCGAGAAAGCATACAACGGCCACGTACGCTGCGAGGTCTCGGATCCCGAGCTCAGGGCGGCGCTGCGGAAGGCCGTGTCGGAGAAGGTCGTCGCTGCTTATGGCGCGTGGCTGATCGAGCACCCCAAGCTTGGCAAGTCTGCCAGGTACACGCCCGATAGCCTGGCCGGGTTGGTGTCAGAATTGTTTGAAGGAGAGGACGCAGCGGCCAGATAGTCCTAGCACTGCTCGGAATACGCGGCCGTCTCGGACTCTGCGGAGGTATGTGTTCCCCGGCCTCTTGGGTGTTCGATTGCAATCAGAGGCGGTTTCTTTCTTGGGTTTACAAATAGGTCATGAATTTGCAGATCAGGTCGCAGGATCTCAATGACGAATCATCAGATAATCAACTCGGAGAAGCAGATCTTGGGAGGAGGGATGTCCAACCCCAAGCGGCGGCAGGGGCCGGTGAACCACCACGACCGCGCCGGCAAAAGATCGCGGCCTGTGCACAAGCAGCAGAAGCACCTCTATCTTGTTCTAGACGACTGGACCAGAGGCTTCACCATCCGCAAGATCGACGTCGACGCCATGGACAGCGGCCCCGACCTGGACCTGGACCTGGAGCCCCCGGTCGTCCGGCTAGTGTCACCCGCACCTGTTTATCCCGTGAACTTCACTGCCCTGGGCAGCAACATCTTCATCGCAAGCAACAGGCACCCCGGCACCATGGTGTACGACACGGAGACGGACGGGCTGGCCATCGGCCCTCTCCTCCCGGACACCCTGCTCGGCGGCACCCGCGTCTTCGCGGCCACCGCCGACACGCAGCAGCTGTACGCGCTGAAGTACAGGATCTGTGACAGGCAGCAGGCCTTCGAGGTGATGTCCACGGCCTGTGTCGAGGATTGGTATCCCAACTCTTTCCCAAACCCAAGCCAGGACTGGTCCTGGGCAACCGTTCCGTCACCACCGCCATTCCCCAAGGATTGCGTGGTCACCGCCTACGCCATGCACCCGGACGGACGCACTCTCTTCGTGTCTTGTGCAAACAGCCGCAAGACGGGCCGCCACACCTACTCCTTCGACACCAGGAGCCATGAGTGGACGTCTCATGGCGACTGGGTGTTGCCTTTCCAAAATCAGGGTTACTTCGACGGCGAGCTGGACGCATGGGTCGGCCTTCGTAAGGACGGCTACGTCTGCTCCTGCCGGGTCCCTTCCCGCACCAGAACGCTCGCCGTGCAGCCGGACTGGAAGATGGCCAAGGACGAGCTTTTCCTCGAGCACCCGGGGAGCCTGGGTGCCACCCTCGCGTACATGGGGAACGCCAGGTTTTGCCTTGTGGAGACGGAAGAACTGGAGTTTGATGGCTTCATGCTCTATATCACCATTTTTGGACTCAAGTACAGCCATGAGGGAGAGCTGCACTGCAACCCACCACCCGTCGCACCACCAAGTCATGTCGAGTGGCTAGGAATCTCCTGCATTTTTCTCCCGTGGCGTTCTGGTTATAGCTATTTGCTGTTTGGCTTGGTTGCCATGCAATGCATATTTGTCATTCTCATGGATCTGAATTAGTACGATTTGTGGCAATGAAACTTGCTTCTTTTGGTAATTTTCGTGGAACCTGCTGAGCTATCTTTACTATTAGTAGCAAAAGAGCTTGTATGTTGCAATGGAAGCATACATATTCTATGGTTCAATACCAATTCTCAATAAAATTCATATGCATCAAGTGCCATTGTCATAGCTTGGAATTAGCTGTTTGGCTTGGTTGTATGTAATGCATCTATGTCCTTCTCATGGATGTAAATATTGATTTGTCGCAATAAAAAAATTCTTCTCTTGCCCATTTTCATGGAACCTACTAAGTTATTTTACTACTAACTAAATGCCCGTGTGCTGCCATAGAAAAATAAATATAACTTAAAAATGGTATATATGAAAATAAGTTATGTATTACAACCCCACCCGTCGGTTGTAATGACGGTTACCCTCAAGTGTTTGCTCGCTTCTTTCTTGTTCCCGCCCCATGTCTCCATGGAAAACATGTGCTATTGAGCCTCCAGGCGAGGTCTCTCTAGCACTTTTTTCCTTGTTGGACTGAGAGCATCTCTAGCAGATCCTGTAAAGGTCCATACCGCAAAAGAGCCCTAAAACATGGGCGCGACTATGTCTCGCTACAAACGAGATAGAGCTCTCGCTGAAAGCAGTGACTTAAATAGGCCGGCACAGCTCGCGCGAGGCCACTCCATCTTTTTGTTGTTTGTTACCTTTTGTTTTCTTTTTTATTTCTGTTTTTTACTTTTATTTACACTTCCAAAAATTGTAAACATATATATTACAAAATATATTTTTCGCAATGTTTTGAAATTTTTTAAATGTGTATAGGGAAAAACCATGTATACAAAAAATATACAGTGAATGTGAAAAAAATTGATCGTGTACTTAAAATATGTTACACAAGTATTTGAAAAATCTTAAACAAGTGTTTGAAATTTTTTAAATGTGTATAGAAAAAATGTTGACCAGGTATTAAAAAATATAAAATATTCATGTATATGAAAATAATAATCAAGCATTTCGAAAAATTTGAACAAGTATTTCAAAACTGTTAATCAAGCATTTGGTAAATATTAAATGTGTAATAGAAAAAATGTTGACCATGCATTAAAAATGTAATCTTGCATTTGAAAAATGTTGATAAAGTATTTAAAAATGTTAAATGTTCATACAAAAAAAGTTGACGATGTATTAGAAAAATGTCAATCTTGTGTTTGGAAAAAGTTTAAAGTATGTATAGGGAAAATATTGACCATCTATACAAAAAATGTTCATTATTTAAAAAATGTTAATCAAGCATTTGAAAACTGTTCAAAATGTGTATAGAAAAAGTATTGATTATATATAAAAAACATTCTGTATTTGGAAAAAATTAATATGTATTAGAAAAATGTTGTTGCCATATAAAAAATATAGAGTGAAAACCAAAAGAAACTAGGAAAACCAAAAAAATGGAACCCGAAGAAGAAACAAAATATACTAAAATGAAAAATAAAATCAAAGAAACAAATGAATAATGAATAAAAACAAAAACATAGAAGAATAAAAGAAGGAAAGTGAGAAAGAAAAGAAAAAGATAAAACCGTGAAAAAGGATGAAGAGAAACCAAAATAAAACCAAAAGAAAAAATGAAGTATAATGACGAAAGAAACCAGAGAAGAAATAAGAAAACCGAACAAAGAACCAGAGAAACCAAAAAAGAAGTGATAAAAAAACTCCTGTCTTTTCCTCAAGTAATGTGCACCTCTTATGCAAACACGAAGTCAACAATGACGAAGTGACTTGCGGCTCCATGCACAATCGAAACGACTAGGGAGCGAATCCCCATGAGCCAATCTTTAATTAAGGAGTACTCCTTCCAAAGATCACTTTCACCTCCCCATGTTGTGACAAATGATGCACATGCGTCCAAATCCCGAACCGTTTTCACCGTTGGATTTTTCGCGTCGAGATTTTCAAAACAAGATCCCATGTCGATAGGTTTTGACAAACTTTTTTCACAAAAAAGGGACAAGAAAACCACACCAGGGAGCATTTTTTTCCTCTCAGAAAGCTGTTTCCGAGAGGCACAGCCGTGCCTCTTGCGAAAGAAAATCCGTGCCTCTCGCAGAATAAAACCGTGCCTCTTGTGGAAGGAAAAAAATGAAAACATGTTTTTTCGTTTCCTAGTGGCATGGTCATTCCTCTCGCGAAAACAAAACTGTGCCAGTCGCGAAAGCAAAATCATGCCTCTCGTGAAAGCCAAAAAATGGTTTTTTTCATTTCCAAGAGGCATGGTCTCTCAAAGAAGCAAAATCGTAATTTCTTTTCTCGCTCCGCATACACAGGCTGGTTTGAGGGGTCGCCGCTTCAAGGGCAATCTGGGCGACATGGGCTCCGCTAAGATGTAAGTTGTTTGTCTGCCCTGCGATTAGAAAGGGGATTTGGACTTCTGATGGACTCGCCAAACGTGGTATCTCCCATATTGACAATGGTGTTCTTGGCTCGAGTGACTCAGAAGATACATATCATCTTCTAGTTAGTTGTTCCATCTATAATATCATTTGGAACACGGTGTTGACCTAGGCTGGATTTACCGCGATCACTCCTACCATCAACACCTTCCTTTGCGAGTGGAGGTCATTCGCCAGAAGCGGAGTAGACCTGAGGACAGAAAGAAGCTCAACTGTTGCATATGTCCTGCTTGGTCTATTTGCAAGGAGAGAAATAACCGAGTGTTTAGATCAATCGACACATTCTTGTGATGTCAACCAACGGTTCAGAGCATGAGCCAAGTGCTTGGAGTCCTTGCTCCTCTAGGTCGCTAGGTTTTTTTTAATAGTCGTTGAAGTCGTTGTAGGGGTCGCTTCTTGTGATTGTGTCGGTCGAGTCATGCTTCCTGTAACATTAAAAGATTGCAGTTTTTCTGCTCCTTTTCTCCTTTTCTTCTATAATAATGATCATGTAGTCTTATCAAAATAACATAGCCAAAGAAAGCTTATCCGTATAAAATCATATAGTTTGGCCATGCTTCATTTTCATCACACAAAATGCTCCCATCATGCACAACCCGGTTTTAACCAAGCAATTGGTTCATACTTTTGAACGCGCTTCAGCCTTTTCAACCCTCACGCAATACATGAGCCCAAGCCATAGATATAGCACTATGGGTGGAGTAGAGTATGATGATGGAGGTTGTGTGAAGAAGACAAAAAGGGAGAAAGTCTCATATCGACGCGGCTAATCAACGGGCTATGGAGATGCCCATCAATTGATGTCAATGCGAGGAGTAGGGATTGCCATGCAACGGATGCACTAAGAGCTTAAGTGTATGAAAGCTCAAACTGGAAACTAAGTGGGTGTGCATCCAACTTGCTTGCTCATGAAGACCTCGGGCGTTTGAGGAAGCCCATCATCGGAATATACAAGCCAAGTTCTATAATGAAAATTCCCACTAGTATATGAAAGTGATAACTCAAGAGACTCTCTATATGAAGAACATGGTGCTACTCTGAAGCACAAGTGTGGTAAAAGGATAGTAACATTGCCCCTTCTCTCTTTTTCTCTCATTTTTTTATTCTTTTATATTTTTTTGTAGGCTTCTTTGGCCTCTTTTTTTTTAATTTGGGCTTCTTTGGCCTCTTTTATTTTTTCATAAAGGCCGGAGTCTCATCCTGACTTGTGGGGGAATTGTAGTCTCCATCATCCTTTCCTCACTGGGGCAATGCTCTAATAATGATGATCATCACACTTTTATTTACTTACAACTCAATATTACAACTTGATAGAATAAAGATATGACTCTATATGAATGCCTCCGGCGGTGTACCGGGATGTGCAATGATCTAGCGTAGCAATGACATCAAAAATGGACAAGCCATGAAAACATCATGATAGCTATCTTACGATCATGCAAGGCAATATGGCAATGAATGCTCAAGTCATGTATATGATGATGATGAAAGTTGCATGGCAATATATCTCGGAATGGCTATGAAAATGCCATAATAGGTAGGTATGGTGGCTGTTTTGAGGAAGATATATGGAGGTTTATGTGTGATAGAGCGTATCATATCACAGGGTTTGGATGCACCGACAAAGTTTGCACCAACTCTCGAGGTGAGAAAGGGCAATGCACGTTACCTTAGAGGCTAGCAAATTGCGGAAAGGTAAGAGTGCGTATAATCCATGGACTCACATTAGTCATAAAGAACTCATATACTTATTGCAAAAGTCTACTTGCCCTCAAAGCAAAGTACTACTACGCATGCTCCTAGGGGAAGGGTTGGTAGGAGTTAACCATTGCGCGATCCTGACCTCCACTCATAAGGAAGGCAATCAAAGAACACCCCATGCTTCAAATTTGTCACACAACAGTTACCATACGTGCATGCTACGAGACTTGCAAACCTCAACACAAGTATTTATCAATTTCACAATTACCCCACTAGCACGACTGTAATATCACCACCTTTATATCGCAACACTATTGCAAGGAATCAAACATATCATATTCAATGATCTACAAGTTTTATGTAGGGTTTTATGACTAACCATGATAATGACCAATTCATGTCATCTCTCTAAATAGATATAAGTGAAGCAAGAGAGTTTAATTATTTCTACAAAAGATATGCCCGTACTCCAACAAATATAAGTGAAGCAAAAGAGCATTCTACAAATGGAGGTTTTCTATATGAAGAGAAACAGGCAATCCAAACTTCAAATGATATAAGTGAAGCACTTGAAGCATTCTATAAAGCCATACTCAAAAGATTTAAGTGAAGTGCAATGAGCATTCTATAAATAAACCAAGGACTATCTCATACCAGCATGGTGCATAAAATAAAAATGAAAACTAAATGTGAAAGACGATCCAAGACTTGCACATATCACATGAACGAAATGAATACGAAAACATACCGATACTTGTTGAAGAAAGAGGGGATGCCTTCCGGGGCATCCCCAAGCTTAGACGCTTGAGTCTCCTTGAATATTTACTTGGGGTGCCTTGGGAATCCCCAAGCTTGAGCTAT